GACTGACGAAACGTTCCTTTATAATATATTATTATTTCTAAGATATTGTTATTGAAGAATTACTGCTTTATGTTAACTGTTTACTCGCAAAAAAAGATGTACTAAACCATCGAGATACCAGGGGATGACATTTCTTTTGTAATTCTTTAGGTAAACATTAGCTTTCCAAGATCAAATTTCTGGTTTTTCAAATTTTAAAAACAATCAGAATTCGGTTTAGAAATCGGAAAGTAATTCAAATTTTGTATATTTTTCATACATTATGAAGATAAATGTATATAAAACAGATATTTGGGGAACGTATCGTCTGATCTTAAATACATATGAAAGTCACATTGCGTTTCAAAACTACATAAAATATAAACAAATTTTTATAAAATTCAAACAATGTTAAAGTTACCAAGTTTATTATATACACAAGAGGCCCATGGGCCGTATAGGTCACCTGAGTATCATGTAACAACTTTCCAACAAATTAAATTTGATTCATGTGTTTAATCAGAGTTCAATGAAATTCTGACATAATTTTGAGAGGAGCCACAGCTTATCATAATTATACACTCACCATGCTTACAATGATTACTTAATGCCAAGAGGTAGATCAGAGTAACAAAGAGAAAATGCATTTCTACTTGATCAGTTAATGCACCCCATCCCACAGGAACCACAGACCCTTGGGTCACATCTTTCAAAATTTTGGAAATTTTAAAAATTTTATTTCATCATGTTGTTGATTAATATTGAAGTGGAGATTTCAAAGCATCAAATAATTTTCAGACTATGTACCCCCCCCCCGCCCCTCCAAGTACCCCTGTCCCAAGGGCCAGTAAAATAACTGTTTTTGGAAGAAGCAGCTTTCTTTGTCATTAATACATACTAAGATCATTGACATAATACCCAAGAAAAAAGGACAACATTTTCAAAAAAATAATGCATTTTCATTAAATAAACATTAAACCCTACCTAACACAAGAAGCCCTGACCCAGGGTCCCTGAAATTCACAAATCTCAAAGAGGCATCCTTCTCATAACTATGTACATAATTCATTGGTTAAATACCGGGGTTGGAAAAAAAGATTTTAAAAACAATTATGCATTTCCACTACATAATCAATAAAACCCCACCCTAACACAAGAACCCCTAAACCAGGGTTCAGGAAATTCACAATTTTGGAAGAGGCAGCTTTATTAAACATAACCACGTACTTAGTTAGTTTATTTAATACTCAGGAGCAGGGAAGAAGCATTTCAAAGAAATGAATCATTTTTATTATATAATCTATATAGACCCGCCCTTGCACTAGAGCCTCTGACCCTGGGGCCATGAAATTCACAATTCTGGAAGAGGCAGTCTAATTCAACAAGCTATATATGCACTTGGCTAGTTTATTTAATCAACATGAACAGAGAAGAAGAATTTCAAAGAATATTTGAATTTTCAATATATAATCTATAGAGCTCCACCTTGCCACTTGAACCCCTGACCCTAGGGCTATTAGATTTATAAATTTTAGAAGAGGCAGTCTTATTCAACATAGCTATGCACTTTGTTACAATTCTGGAAGAGGCAGTCTTATTCAACATAGCTATGCACTTGATAGTTTATTAATCAACATGAACAGAGAAGAATTTCAAAGAATTTTTGAATTTTCAATATATAATCTATATAGACCCACCCTGCCACTAGAACCCCTGACCCTAGGGCCATTAGATTTATAATTTAAGAAGAGGCAGTCTTATTCAACATAGCTATGCACTTTGTTAGTTTATTTAATGTCAACAAACAGAAACAAGTGGCCCATGGGCTTGATAGGTCACCTGAACATTATGCAACAACATTCCAGTGATTTAATTTGATTCATGTTTTAAGCCAGATGTTATGGCATTCACAATATTGAAAGAGGCACCATTAATTATCATAATTATACACTTAGCAGTTGCTTAGTTTGGTTACTTAATACACAAAGGCAGGGTAGGGGAACAACAAATACATTTCAACTAATCAGTAATATTCAGCTATAATCAATAGTGCACCTACCGCACATGAACCCCTGACCCTTAGGCCTAGATCCACACATTGCACAATTTTTAAAAAGGCATCCTTGCTTTTCAAAAATATTTCATTAATACCAAGGAGCAGATTTCAAACCATTCTTTTTTAGTATATAAGTACAGTCCTTCCCCCTATGGCTCCCCTAGCCCTGGGGCCTTGAAATTCACAATTCAGAGAAGAAAATAATCAATAGAGCCCCGCCCTAACACCAGAAGTCATGATCCTAGGGCCATATAATTCACAATTTTGGTAAAGGCACTCTTGCCCATTATAACTTTGCACTTAGTTTATTTAATACATAGGAGCAGAGACGAAGATTTTCAAAGAATTCATGTATTTTCACTATATAATCAATATAGCCCTACTCAGGTGACCTAAAAAAGACGTTCAAAGAATTTAAGATTTTCACGATATAATCTATAGAGCCCCGCCCTAGCACTAAAACCCCTTGCCCTTGGGCCATGAAAATCACACTTTTGAAAGAGGCAATTATTTTCAACTCAACTTTGCACTTGGTTAGTTTATTTAATGCCCAGGAGCAGAAAAGAAGAATTTCAAAGAAATAATACCTTTTCACTATATAACATATTTAGCCCCACTCTAGTACTAGAACCCCTGACCCTGGGGCCATGAATTTCAAAATTTTGATAGAGGACTCAATACTGATTACAATCATACTAACAGTTTGACTGCTTGATGTCCAGGAGTTAAGATTTTTAAAGATTGCACTAATTTTAGTGGTTTTTGCCCACCCCACCCCAGGCCCCAGGGGGGCAGGGACCATGAAATTCACATATTAAGTTCTCCTTAATTCATAGGTATTGTATGCTAAATTTGATTGAAATTGGTTCAGTGGTTTCAGAGTAGAAGCTGAAAATGTTCAAATGTAAACGCACGACACACGACAAATGACGGACGACGACGGACAAAAACGGATAGCAATACGTCATCTGAGTTTACTCAGGTGACCTAAAACACATACTGGATAATGGGGATTGACAGCCGACTTACAATGCGTTAACAAAACTGATCTATCTCACGGACAATTGGAGATATTCAAAGTATACATGGTAACACAAAAGAAGCAAACAAGTAATAAGAATTCAAGACTGTTACAAATGTAGTAAACAAACACACATATAGAAAACACACACAGGAAAAAAAAACTTGGGGATTATTGGTTAAAATAAGGAAAATTTTTAAGGAATTTGTAGTATTTGTACACCAAAACAGCCAAACATGATTCAAGTTATATTACTTCGATTCATATTACCGTAACACAGTCGCCTGCATGGCACAGTGGAAAAGACGTCTGCTCTAGAGACGCAAAGTAAGGAGTTGATCCTTATATTTTGGGTTTGAATCCAACTGTGGGGAGTGGAGTCCAGTCCTTCGGATGAGACCGTATAAACTGAGGTCACGTGTGGCAGTTGGTGTTGGCATGAAAAAGAAACATCCTTGCCAAATGGATTTTAGTGCCGAGCTTAAGTCAAAACTTGTAGCTCTCCACGGGCAAGTGTCTCCATATGATTGACGTTAAACAAAAACAGATGACAGGTGCCACATAAATACTTCTTTATAATTGAAAAGAATACAACCAATTCTGAAGAATGGTCTTCATTTTGAGGCAAAATAAGAGGCCCACTAGCTAATACGCTGACCAGTATAAAAATATATATTCACTATAATTTTGTTCATATATACAGTATATATGTTTACTTGTAACAAAATAGATATTGAATAACGCTGTTCGATTAGTTCAGATTTCCGGGAATTTTTAAAGGTCATCTTTTAGTAAAAATAAATCAAAACAAATCAATTAAAATATAAGGACAAGAAGGTAAATCAAATTTATAAAACTTTTAAAGAAGTAAGAAAAAAAACAAAATCAATGATCATTTCGGAAATATTTTCGGGACGAAAAGTGCCTATGTATACAATAAAGTGGCAATATCTCGAATCTCTTCAAAAACAGACTTGTTTAAATTTTCCTATAGGATTTGGATTTTTTTTCATACTCATAATTAATGTATATACTTTCCGAAAATTACAAATTTTATAAGTAAATAATTCTGATTATTTAATCAAAATTAATAATTATTTATGGTACATAAATATAAACATCGTGTTCGAGGTTCCACATTCCATGGTATACAGGCACATGACGCATGCGTATAGTTTTCATAAACAAAACAACATGGTAAGAGAGGAAATCCTGGTAGGCCTGCTACATTGTCAAAGTCGACCAAAACGAAAAAAAAAAACAAAAATAGGGATTGAAATTAAAGAAAACAAATTTCATGACAAACAATTAGTAGGAATATTAATATAATCATTGGCGGGACCTCGGCGACATTCACGTGGGGCTCGCGAAGGTTCTACCCTACAGGTTTGTTGATACATGATAATCATTTCTCGTATCTCCATAGCTTTCAAGGAACAAAATATCAGTAGTAACTCAACATAAAAATGCACTTATGACAGATAAAATTATTGCCATTAGAAGTGCAAATTGTATTGGAACTGCAGAAAGATATTTTATTTGACATTTTGCCGCGATGAAGTATGATTTGGTGGATTTTCCTTTCCTGCTCCCCAATACACAAAGCATCAACATTTGTACTTAATCATGTTAAATTCGTCTGAATGCAGACTAAAATGTTTATTATTAATTCACCGGAGAGTTAAGAAATTTTGATTCTGAGAATTGCTTTTAAATAATATTCCATTATAATTGTAAGCCCTACATTGTATGCACGTGTCATTTTAGAAATCACATGGTATAAAATAACAGGTCTTAGTTGTACGGCTCTTTATTTTCCGGCAGATTCTAATTACGTTAATTGTGTATGAGGAGAGAATATTTATTTTTCTCAAAATGCTTACTTCAATTTTTACCTTATTCCTGAATGATAAATTGTGTAAATTTGAATGAAAAATCACACGATTTGCAGCCGTATTGCCGCTTTAATACATATCGTCTGAATTAAAAAAATAATAATTCATAAATATAAGGACACCTATAGTGACATTATTATTGCCATACATCCCAAGATTTCTTCTAACACAGGTAGAAAAATATTGATTGATGACTTTCTTATTAGTTCCAATAATTCTTCGAAACAGGTAGAAAGATAATCAATACTGATTAAATCATTTGACTATGGTAGTTACTATAAGTTAACAAAATTCGTCTTACAGATGTAAAAAAAAATATTCAGTATTCATATGATTGTTGATTCCCATACAGATACATCAACAGACCTTGTCCATCATTCACCGTCGTTTTCAAAAATACAATTCTAAGAGCTCCAGAAATGTTATGTACCAAGCTGCTCAGTAGAAGCATGTCATGTGTGAACATTTGTAAATATATTGATTATCATTAAACATTCTGTAAATTAATGATGTATGTTGGATAAAAGTAACACATATTAAGTAAAATAAACATATCACAAGCAACAAATTAGGATCGCAAATCTGTGTACTAATAACATACAATACGTGTATATTCATATAAACATGTAACATTTTGTTAATTTTTTTTATCCCACTGGATTTTAAGGGTACAATCCATAAGCAAATTAAAGTTAACATATTACCACAAGCAACTAAATAGGATCGCAAATCTTAGTTTTTAAAAAATTGCAGTCGTGAATAAGAATATTCTATTCTCTTTCGACACTTGCATACAAGTTTAAACTATTCAGGCACTCTAAATTATGTACAAGTAGTAGGATACATAAAACTCTCCAGCACTTTCCATTCTTATAATTTAAGTAAAACAAGCAATTCTTTAATATTCTACACAATAATCAACGAGCTCCTAATCTGTAGCTCCTTTATTACGGTTGATCATTGTTTCTATTTCTTTGACATCTGATTGGATTGTCTAAAAATTTCTTGCATTTTAACATTTTTATAACATTATACATTCATGTAAAAGAGTTGATTCTGATTGGACGCTTTTCATTTGTTAGAAAAACACTAATACCCGTTGAATGATGAAGCCATGCTCTCCAGTGCAGAAACAGTAATGTTCAATGCTTAACTACGAGTCATATTCCATAAAAATATGGATATCACAGAATTTAGGTTCATTGTTATTTTGTATGAAACATTCAGCATAATATAATAAATACTGTACGAGGAAAATTTTCGCCCCTTTTGCCCTCTTCCTGATTGGGCGAATTTAAAACGGGGCGAATCGAAATTACACAGCATAATTCCTTAAACAGAACTATGACTGGGCGAATATAAAACGGGGCAAAATAGTTCGCAAGTGCAAAAGGGCGAAAATAACCCTGTACAGTATTACATTTAGTTAAGTGTAACGTTGAAAAATTTCATTCCAAAAAATAATTACCAACCTCGGTTGACAATGGCTTTCTTGGGGTGAAATTCTTTCAATGTTGCACTCAACAACATGCAATATTTATATAATAATATCCCCAGCTTCCTTTCTCAATGTTAGTAATTTAATATCGTAAAGGTTATATAAGTACTTCTTTCCAGTGAAGATTTCTTATCTTTGGCAGATAGCCAACATCATTGACCTGACGTCATTGAATTCTGTCTCAGAGGTCAAGGCCGAATTCATGTTTCGTTATAAATGTTATATCTCATGTTTCTTTATAAATGTTATATCTCATGTTTCGTTATAAATGTTATATCTCTTCTTAATTTTGATTATCCTTCTCTGCATATGTTGTAGGTATATTTGCACAGCTTCCTTTCAGTTTCTTTAATATGTAGAAATTGCTGGATAAAAGCACATAAAATGTTCAGCTTTTCATAATTTTCGTTTTCAATGTTTTCAGCACCATGTTCTATGATATTGTAATCCCAGTGGAATGCTTTTTGGTAAGTCTTCCTTTTTCTATCATTACCAAACAATTCCCCATCCAGAACATATTTAATCATCAATTCTCTAAATGGGAGCCATCCAACTGCATCATTTATAGTCAGAAGGGAATTAAATCTACGTAATCCTACAAATACCGTAGTACATGATTCTAAAGGATATCCATAAAAAAGTAACTATTGAAGTTCTTTACACAGAACAGAAATCCAAAAAAGGATAAAAGACACATATATTGAATACTGATTGGTGGGTGAAGAATAAAAAAATCATTATACATTTGTTGTATTGGTGTATTTGTGGAATAACTGCACTACTACTCGCCCACCTCCTTTAACAAAGTCTCTGCTGTTTCCTAAATCTTTGATTTTGCATGAAAAAAATCATGATATTTATATTACTCCACAATTAGTAGAGGCTGGTTTTCAATTAAAGTCACTCTAAATATGTTCAATGCATAAAAAATTGATTTGGGCAATGGGCAGCACCCCCTGTCTGCATCAATTTTGCTTTAAATTTTTGACATACTTCTTGTACATCTGACATTAACTGTACATATGTTCGATGCATACAAAAAATTTGATTTCGACAGCACTGCCTGTTGGCATTAATTTTGCTTGAATTTTTTAACATCTGACTTAACTTCTCGCATATCTGACATTAATTTTTGCACATTTGACATGACTTTCTTCAACATATCATGTTGTTCCTTGTTAACTTTTTCTATAATAGCTGAAATAGCAGCTTCATCTTTTAAAGTCAGCTTATGAATGCTATTCAGGTTATCTGAGTACTTCTTTCCAGTGAAGGTTTCCAATCTTTGGCAAATATCAGACATCGTTGTCCAGGTGTCATCAAATTCTGTCTGAGGGGTGGAGGCTGAACTCACATGTGCAGTCAAACTATTTCGGATTAACCTAATTCTCTCGATATCGTCACCCACTGTCACCTCTCCTGCTGCAGGCATGTTGTTTTCTCCCCATTTTCCTTTTGTTGGCTTAGGGATCTTCGAACAAATGTTTCTGATTAATGTGTATGTTAAAGAAATGTCAAAGTTCTTATATCCTGAATGCTTAGCATCTAGCAAGAGATGTTCTTGCTCTGGGCGCAATCTTTTGTAAGCTAGTGATGCTTTAGCTTTGTTCTCGATATCGGAGGGAGGCACTTCCATCTCTAGTATATCTCTGTATGCCTGATTTAACACATCGTTTGTTGCCATTCCAAGTTTTGCAAATCTCGATCGTCCCTCGAGATCATGTCCACCGGAGGCTACTGGAGTTTTAGGAACACTTACATTTACCTGAAATAAAATGAACCTTTCTTTAAAAAAATGGATAAAGTTGATTTAGCAGATATATATATATATATAGAAGAATAATGAACAAAATTGTGTAACAATTTTATTTAAACAGATTTAGTCCATAATATGTAATTTTTTCAGTAAGTTAAATCTAATTCTGTCATGATGCTATTTTTGAGATTTATCATTAAAGTGATTTTACAAATATAACATACTTTATCACATCATGCAATTTTTAGGTGAAATGGGTCTCATTAGTTCTAAGTCATGTAAATAAATAAAAGAAAACCAAATATAATATCCATTACTCAGCTTTTGTTTGGACAAAATTGTAGGAACAAGATGATAGACAAACAAGATGATTGTACATACCTTTTATTTAACTTAAGGATAAATTTAGTTAATAAACATTATTTACCTTTTCCCAAAAACCCACTGTCAACTGTACATTTATCGTATGTTTCTCCTGAAGTTGACACTTGCACTGCGTTTCTTCTGCCTTGATCTTAGAGAGCTCACTTGCAAGGGTGAAAGATAGATCCTTCTCATTACAAATAATATTTTGACATTTGTATCCTCTGTGAAATATTTTTGTGTCAATAAATGTCTCTGTCAACTTTTCTATGGCTTTTTCAATGGAGTCCCCAATTCCATTTGATACTTCTTTGTCTACGGTCAATGTTTTGATTCTAAGCACTTGCAGTTGAATATCGTCATTGCATATGCCAACAACAACAGTGTGTTCATTGTGATCAAACACTGCCGCCGTTTGATAAAGACAAGGACATCCTTCATTATCTTCATCTTTTGCAACACTCCATCTTAGAGAACTTATGCAGTATGCCACCAGTCTGTAGAACACAAACATGGCAAAGGAAAAGAATCGATAGCACAAAATGGATGAGCTTTCCCATTTATCTTCACAGAAGTCAGCTTTGAACTGCTTTTTGTTCATACATGGGACATACCATGACATGCCATCTTCTGATACAGCTTCATCTACATTCAAATGTACCAGCATTTGAAGTTTCTCCATGTACGGCATAATTTCACTTTTATGTGTCAAGTATAAAGGTTCATCTTTCCACAAAGCATCTATGACTTTATCTTTGAGTTCCCCCGTTTTGTTAAAGGATTTCCATTCTCTAATTAATTTCCTTTGACAATCTTTATTGATGTGGTTTTCATCAGCAATTATCTTGCTGAAAGCATTAGCAAACCACTGAATGTCTAGGATAACATGTTCCTTCAATTCCACTTCTTCAAAATTCAGAAGAAGGCCACTGTCATGGAAACATTTTAAAAATTTGGTCATTTCTTCATCACCTTTGATTTGGTATTCATAAGGAAGAGATGAGTTGAGCTTCCAGATTTCACTCAGGGACAAAACCTTCCAGCCTCCGTCATACAATAACTGCTCCATTAGAGCCCACGAAGAAGGTAATTCAACCTTTGTAGTGTTCTCATCTGTGAATAGTTCCACTATGGACTTTTTCATTAACTCTAGTATTTCCTTGGTATTATCATTCAGTGTCCTCAGACCTACTGCATATTCCCGATCTTTCAGAGACTCACTTAACCAATCTCTGTCCTCCTCTGGTACAGCTTTCCAAAACTCCCTAAAATACTTCTCTATTTCCTGAAGAAGGAAACAATGTTAGCATGAAGATATTTTTATACTGATTGTGTGCTATGATTATAAAACTGTAATACTATATTATGTGTTGATGTTTGAAAAATCTGGAATTACTGGTATTTCAGCAGTACAATTGGTACATTATACAAGAGGCCCATGGGCCACATTGCTCTCCCGAGAAGCTTTGACCATTGTGTTCTTTCCCAGATTTCACCCTTATAATACATATTGTGACCCCACCCCATCCTACTGATCATAATTTAGACAATTTTAAATCTACACTTTTCTGGCCCAGTCGTTCTTCATCAGAAGATTTTTAAAAAAAAATTCGTATATATTTCTATGCAAAGCTTTGATTCCCACTGTGGCCCCGCCTTACTCCTGGGGTTCATCATTTGGACAGTTTAGAATCTACACTATCTCAGGATGCTTTCACATAAGATTCTGCTTTTCTGGCCCAGTGGTTCTTGAGTAGAAGATATTACATGATTTTTCCTATTTATTTTTATGTAAAATTTGATTCCCCATTGTGGCCCCGCCCTACCACCCGAGGTCATGATTGAAAGAATTTAGAATCTTCACTACCCAAAGATGCTTCCACCTAAGTTTTAGCTTTTATGGACCAGTGGTTCTTGAGTAAAAGATATTAAGATTTTTCTTTATATTTCTATGTCAAACTTTTGATTCCCCATTGTGGCCCGCCCATACCCCGGGGGTTATGATTTGAACAATTTAGAATCTACACTACCCCAGAATGCTTCCATATAAGTTTCAGCTTTCTGCCCTAGTTGTTCTTGAGAAGAAGATTTTTAAAGTTTTTTCCTATATATTTCTTTGTAAAATATGATTCCCCATTGTGGCCCCACCCAACCCCGGGGGTCATGATTTGTTCAATTTAGAGTCTACACTACCCCAGAATGTTTCCACATAAGTTTCAGCTTTTCTGGCTAAGTTGTTCTAGAATTTTTTTTTTATTTTTCCTATATATTTCTATGTAAAATTTTGACTCCCCATTGTGGCCCCGCCCAACCCCCGGGGCCATGATTTGTTCAATTTAGAATTTACACTACCCCAGGATCTTCCACTTAAGTTTCAGCTTTTCTGGCCGCCTTGTTCTACAATTTTTTTTTTATTTTTCCTTTATATTTCTATGTAGAACTTTGATTCCCCATTGTGGCCCCGCCCAACCCTGGGGGTCATGATTTGTTCAATTTAGAATCTACACTACCCCAGGATGCTTCCACATAAGTTTAAGCTTTTCTGGCCTAGTTGTTCTAGGCAGATTAAAATTTTCTTATATATTTCTATGTAAAACTTTGATTCCCCATTGTGGCCCCGCCCAACCCCGGGGTCATGATTTGTTCAATTTAGAATCTTCACTACCCTAGGATGCTTCCACATAAGTTTCAGCTTTTCTGGCCCACTGGTTCTTGAGAAGAAGATTTTTAAAGATTTTTCCTATATATTTCTATGTAAAATTTTGATTCCCCATTGTGCCCCGGCCCTACCCCAGGATGGTCATGATTTCTACAATTTAAAATCTACACTATCCCAGGATGCTTTCACATAATTTTATGCTTTTCTGGCCAAGTGGTTCTTGAGAAGAAAATTTTTTAATGTCCCCACCCTATTTTTGTCTATTCTTGATTATCTCCCCTTGTGAGGTGATTTGGCCCTTCATTTTAACAATTTAAATTCCCCTTTATCCAAGGATGCTTTGTACCAAGTTTAGTCAAAATTTTGACCAAACTGCATCCTTGATTACAGATAAAACTGTAGATTTGGTATCCATTGTTAGCTCACCTGAGCCGAAGGCTCAAGTGATCTTTTCTGATAACATTTTGTCAGGCGTCTGTCTGTCTGTAAATTTTTTCACATTTTCGACTTCTTCTCAAGAACCGCTGGGCCAATTTCAACCAAATTTGCCACAAAGTATTCTTGGGTGGAGGGGATTCAAGTTTGTTCAAATGAAGGGCCATGCCCTCATTCAAGGGGAGATAATAGGGAATTAATGAGAATTTGGTGGCATATTTTAAAAATCTTCTTCACAAGAACCACTGTGCCAGGAAAGATGAAAATTATGGGTAAACATCCTCAGGTAGTGTAGATTCAAATGTGTTCAAATCATGACCCCGGAGGTAGGGCGGGGCCAAAATGGCCGACCAAAGTTTTACATAGAAATATCTAGGAAAATTCTTTAAAAATCTTCTTCTCAAGAATGACAAAGCCATAATTCATCATATTTATATGGAAGCATGCTCAAGTAGTGTAAATTTAAATTTGTTCAAATCATGACCTCCAGGGGTGGGGCGGGGCCAAAATGGCCGACCAAAATTTTTAAAGATAATATATATAGGAAAATTCTTTAAAATCATTTTCTTAAAAATAGCAGATCCGTGATTGGTCATTTGACTACTTTTTGATTTAAACTTTATAATAAAAAGCCATTTTCTTCCTTTTTCCTACCCTTAGTGCTCAGGTGAGCGATGTGGCCCATGGGCCTCTTGTTGTATATCTTTTCATGTTGCAATGGATGTAAAGTAGACAAAAGGTATTTTTCAGGTAAAGTACTACACATTTTGTGTTTTTTCCAAATTTCTGCCTTTTTAAAAACTGTCAGATGTATTTTGATGTTAATTAAGATATCTTTAAGACAAAACCGTTTTTGACATTGTACAAGGGTTGATCCAAAAGTAATGTTACGGTGTCCTTATATTTTAAATTTGACATCATATTATCAAATGCAATATACAAAAAGATGCACAAATATAATCTATTTATCATTGAAATTTTAATTTTATAATGATTATTTCAATTTGTTTTATAAATTAAAGTATAAAATGAAAAAGACAAACACATTACCGGTAAAAAGATTCTTAAAGAAACACCTTATCTCCCAATTCATTTAAAGAACACAATTATCGTCATTTTCTAGTCTTTAATTAAAAGTTAAATGACGGCATTGGTATTTGTGATGATAAACATTGTTGTTTTACTCTGTTGAATTGAACAAAATCTGAAAAAAGGAGATGTAATGCATTTTTGCTTCAAAATATGGAAAACATCACAAACGATAGTTACATTAATTGACCAGACTTACAGAATAAAGACTGTAAATAAGAGACATCTTAATAGATGGTTTCAGTAATTTTGGGAGGGTGATTGGTCTCTGAATGATCAACAGAGGATAAGAAGACCGATAGACAGGAGATCGGACAAATACGTTCACTGGTGTCTGACGTTGTCAAAAAAGACAGACGTATAGAGTGACATGTGAATCTTTAAATTTGTTTTGAGCAACTGTTCAAAAAATTGACAGAGGGCTTAATTATGAAGAGTGAGTGTATAACGGTACCAAACATTCTTAAAGAAAGTGGAATTGGTGAGAATGTTTGCAAATCACAAATATTTTTAATGAAACGAAGGGGAAACGCTTAAAAGTATGATGGTGCATATCTGTCGTATGACGTTATATTTACCGGTAGGTGCGGCGACTACCATAAATGGATATCGTTTAAAATTCTATATTTTGGAAACTTAAGCATACATCATAAAGCTTCCATCATGTATTATTTTGTTGTTTAATGTCGATTTATAGCAATTTTATCAAAGTTGTGACATTACTTTTAGATCAACCCTTGTATGTTCATCGTTAATCCTCAGTGTGACAGGAAAAATACATAAAACTAATTCTCTATATCTAATCAAATAGCTACTCCAGCATGCTACACACTTATGGTGAAATGCTTTTGATTTGCCTCTACTAAAATCCCAAGTGGAAAGAAAAGTAGCTTTAACCATGCTGTTCTTTACCAGATTTCCCCCTTGATATGTTATTTTGACCCCACCCTACCCCATGGGTCAATGACCGTCATAATTTGGAAACTTTAAAATCTACACTACCCAATGATGCTTTCACATACGTTTAAAATCAGCTTTCCTTACGCAGTGGTTCTTGAGAAAAAGATTTTAAAAGTTTTTTCCTATATATATTTCTATGTAAAACTTAGATTTAAAATTATGGCCCCGACTCCAGGGGTCATCGAAAGCAAGTCTGGTAGTGGCCATCCCTAGATGCTTCATACATACAAAATTTATCCAGGTAGGGCATAACGTTTCCTGGAAATAGACCTGCTCAAAAAACTTGAATTTGGCCACTTATCAAAAAATGTAGGTCAGATCCAGCATCGTAAACAGGTTTGGTGGTGTCCATCCCTCCATCCCTAGATGCATCATCTTTGCAAGTTTAGTCTGGGTAGGGCTTATAATTACTTGGAAATAGACCTGCAGCAAAACCTTTGGCTTGCTCATTTGGTAAATTTAGATCCAATTCAGCATCTGAAGCAAGTCTTGTAGTGCCCATCCCTAGATGCATCATCCATGCAAGTTTGGTCCTTGTAGGGCTAATATTTCCTTTGGAATGATGGACCTGCTCTTAAAACTTTAACCTGGTCACCCCTCTGAAAAATCCAGCATTTGAAGTAAGTGTGATAATGTTCATCCCTAGATGCATTATCTATGCAAGTCTTGCCCGGGTAGGGATTATAGTAACTTGGGAATGGACCTGCTCCAAAAACTTTAGAATGATCACTCAAATGGAAAATATAGGTCAGATTCAACATCTTAAGAAATCTGGTTGTGTTGATCACTGTTGACATCAATGAAAAATCTTCCACTTCCACCATATTTGCAAAAACAAGAACTAAATACAAGAGGATCTAGGGCCATAACACTAACCTCATTTCTATGCAAAACTTTGACCCCTTTTTGTGACCCCATCCTTCCGCAGAAGTGCAAAATTAAAAAAAATATATTAGAATCTACAATATGTTTGAAAATGTTTTGGGTTTTTTTTTTCTTGTCTGAGGTTCAAAAGAAGATTTAAATTTTCAACTTTTCCGAGGCGTATATTGTTTTTGTCCTGTCTGTCTGTCTGTTTGTCTATTTGTCTGCAAACTTTAACCTTGGCCATAACTTTTGAACCATGAATGATAGAGACTTCATATTTGGTATGCGTACTCCACTACTGAAGCTCTTTCAAATGGCACCATGGTAAATGACCTTGTGACCTTGACTATGGCCTATACGCTAAATATAGCTTTTTTGACGGCAAACTATAACTTTCGCCATTACTTTTGAACGAAGAAAGATAGAGACCTAATATTTGACATGCGTACTCCACCATTGAAGCGCTTTCACATGACACCAAGGTCAATGACCTTGTGACCTTGACTATGGCCTATACGCTAAATATAGCTTTTCTGACGGCAAACTATAACCTTCGCCATAACTTTTGAATGAAGAAAGATAGAGACCTAATATTTGACATGCGTACTCCACCATTGAAGCGCTTTCACATGACAACAAGGTCAATGACCTTGTGACCTTGACTGTGTCTTATTAACTAAAAATAGCTTTTTTGAACCTTTAACTTAACTTTTGAACCATGAAAGATAGAGACTTCATATTTGGCACGCATATTTCACTAATCTAGATCTTTCAAATAACACCATGATCAATGACCTTGTGACCTTCATTGTGACCTTTGAGCTAAACATTTTTTTTTCAAATTTGTTGTTGCCGGGTGCATATTTTTTCAAAAGCACATCTTGTTTTCTTATTATATTTCAAACCATATCTCTTATTATCAGTTGTGGCCATACCCTACCATTGGAACCAATGTCGAAATGATCAAGTCAACCTGTTTATGGTATCACGTGGTTCAGCTTTCCTGGTCTAGCGGTTTATCAGGTTTTTTATGAACTTTAATTTCCTATTGTGGCCTTACCCTACCCTTAAGAACCGAGATTCAAAATCATTCTTCTTCACACCCTATTACAGGCAACTAGGACAACAGACAGCGTTTTTTTTGCTATGACAGAGAACTGATTGATATATTTTTGACTATTTATCATTATTTATTACATGTATGTTCATTTACATTTTTTGGTGTTTTCCAGTTTTGGTCTTACTTTAAAGTATTTTTCTGTTGAATACGAAATTATGATTTTGTATAAAAACAAAACAAGCAAATTCAAAGAATTTTGGTCCCCCTGTGGACAATGTTATCTGACAGAAAAAAATCCATTGAAAATTTGTGGCTTCGGCAACTTTTTAAGAAAATACGGGAAAATGCACATGTTTATGACATCATAATTTAGCATTTAAAAACACGTGGGAAAAATGACTTGTATGATTTTTCTGCACGGGATTTCAATTATTTAACAAGAGGCCCAGGGGCAACATCGCTCGCCTGAGCAATCGGCTAGGAAAAAGCACGTATGAGATCAGAACTGAAAGTTTACTAAGATGGAGGGGGCTTGAATTTTAACCCCCCAGGGGGTCATGAGATGAAAAACTTTAATCTACATTACCTAAGGATGATTCCCTATAAATATCACTAAGCATGGCTTTGAAGTACTTGAAAAGAAGATTTCAAAAGGTTTCCCTATATATCCCTATGTAAAACTTTAATTAGCCATTTTGGCCCCACCCTACCCTAGAGGTTCATGTTGTGAACAAACTTGAATCTACACTACCTGGGGATAATTCCACATGAGTTTCATCTTTCCTGTCCAAATGGTTCTTGAGAAAAAAACTTTTCCTATATATTCCTATGTAAAACTTTGATCAGCAATTTCGGCCCCATTCAACCGAAGGTGGTCATGATTTGAACAAACTTGAATCTACACTACCTGAGTATGATCATCTTTCCTGGCCCAGTGGTTCTTGAGAAGAAGATTTTTAAAGATTTTTCCTATATATTCCTATGTTAAACTTTGATCGGCCATTTTGGCCCCACCCTACCCCCGGGGTCATAATTTGAACAAAGAATGAGTGCACTTAAGTACGTCATTTGGAACCTTTTCGGCTACCCATTTTAAGCTTAGCATTACAATATATCGCAAAATTAATCTATGATTAATGTGCAAGCATATGCTATTGATATTTATTTCTAGAATTTTTTGTCATACATATTTCTATAATTACAGAAAATGTTATTGAAAAGAACATGTAAAAGCCTTAAATTCCGGAAATATGAACGGGACCACTTTCGAATCTAAGGTATCCGCAAGTAAGCGGAGACATTTAAACCGCATGGTTGTGGAATGTAAACATTAGCATATATGATTTTTTCGCATTGCGAATTGAAATGGAAAAGAGAAAGAGAGAGATTGTGTTGATTTTATGGTGCACAATTATTAAATGATTCTAATGTTAGGGGATGGGGTAAATGTCTCGCTGTGCAGACCATAATACAGAGGCGACATAAGCCTAAACATGTACTTACTAATGACACTGTCAATACCAGAATTCCTTCAAAACACCCCTAATGAAAAGCATGAAGATAAATAAGAGACATATTATCTTCAAACCCTATTAAAAATTTGCGCAAAAATCTCCCATAGTTTTAAGTTGGAAGTACGATAGATAATGTCAAAACAGAGACTTAAACACAACGAAATTTTCAATGAAAGCGTTAGCGTATCGAACAGCAGAAGGTCACGTGAGAAATGTGATTATAATATCAATCGTTATTGCTCAGTGACCGGTTGATTTAGTAGCTATTTCGACCTTAGTTTGGGGACATTTTTTTGAAAATTAGATATGAGCCGCAACTTGGCCAACATTGTCCTTTGGATATGTATAAGTTTAAGTTAAAATAGATATTCTGTGCAAATAAGAAAAATGGCCAAGTTGCGGCTCGATGTAAACAAAGTCGTTGAAAACTGGTATGCATATGAATAACAATAGAAATGAGACAAAACTGTGACCCCCGTTTGAAAAGCTAGTGTCGCTCGGCGTTATTTAATACTTTCATGTAATATAATATACGAAAACCTGCCATTTAGACATTGTTTAATACCTATAAAACATAAATTTAATGAATTTTGGAATTTTATTTTGCGCAAAACATCGGGATCCAACTCTCATAGCTTAAGTGCACTCATTCTTTGAATCTACACTACCTGAGGATTCACAAAAGTTTCATCTTTTCTGGCTCAGTGGTTCTTGATAAGAAGATTTTTAATGATTTTTCCTAAATATTCCTATGTCAAACTTTGATCGGCCATTTTGGCCCCACCCTACCCCCACGGGTCATGATTTGAACAAACTTGAATCTACACTATCTGAGGATGAATCCACATAAGTTTCATCTTTTCTGGCTCAGTGGTTCTTGATAAGAAGATTTTTAAAGATTTTTCCTAAATATTCCTATGTTAAACTTTGATGGGCTATTTTGGCCCCACCCTTCCCCTGGGGGTCATGACTTGAACAAACTTGAATCTACACTACCTGAGGATGATTCCACATGAGTTTCATCTTTCCTGGCCAAGTGGATCTTGAGAAGAAGATTTTTTAAAAATGCATTAATTTTTCTCTAATTCATAATTATGTCCCCTTGGAAAAGGGTGTGGCCCTTCATTTGAACAAACTTGAATCCCCTTTAACCAAGGATACTTTATAGCAAGTTTGGTTGAAATTGGTCCAGTGGTTCTTGAGAAGAAGATGAAAATGTGAAAAGTTTACAACAACGACAACGACAGACAACGACAGACAACGGACAAATTTTGATCAGAAAAGCTCACTTGAGCCTTTGGCTCAGGTGAGCTAAAAAGCAAGATTTTCAACTTTTAAACCAGTTTCATTTTTTAGAAAATCACAGGGCGAAATTTGTATGGAAACCATACCTTCTTCTTTCAATACTTGTTCAAGGAAAAAGCATGGTCAAACTGAGCTCACATTATTAACATGATTAAAACTGGGGCTTTGAAAATTTAAATTATCCTAAAGCAAAAGATGCTTTGTGCAAAGCAGAGTGGTACTTAAGAAGTAAAAATAAAAAAAATCATAAAAAGAAAAAAATATTACAAAGTTAAAGACAGATAGAAAGTCTCAGGACAATGGGAGACCCATAAAACTCACTTCAGTTTTCAGCTCAGGTAAGCCATCAAAATACAGTATTACTGTATAAGTACATTTTTCGCATGGTATTAATAAACCAATGCAGTCACAATTTTTTCGTGGAAAATTGTCCAAGCGTACTTTTTATAAATGTAAGGCATTAAGTGACAGTCTAGGAAATCTGAGTAATTTTCTATTCGCAGTTAAACAGAAATTGAGATTCCGTGGAATTATGACCCCGTGGAAAAAAGTACCTCTACAGTTAAAGACATGAATTATTATACCTATTTTGCCCATAGTCATCAAAATAAATGGAAACCAATTCATTTTGTAAAGACTGTAACCAATCCTATAACCTTATAGGCCAAACATTTTTCTTATTTTAATTTGTATTTCTTAAGTACTGTAAATCACTTTTTATTCGCAAGAAGTTTATTTTCGCATAATTACGTGAGACAGTGTGCTCGCCAAAACTTAATTCTCGCGTATAACAGCATTTCTTAAGATTATATAGAGCAATAACCACAATTCGAGAAAAATTTTGTTTTACTAATCAAAAGTCAACTACTATCTCGTGAAATTAAATTGTTGCGAAGATTATGTGATCTACAGTATGGCTTTAATTGTGCATTCTCACGATAGGCTGGAGAACTGTTTATTCCTGTATAATTCTCATTTCTACAAGCCAGAATACTTACATCTTCAGATTTTTTCTCTGTGTGTGTGACAACAAGAAACAGTGGTGCCTTTTTGCCTCCAAATGTCTTGATTGAGGTTATCCAAAACTTCAAGTAGTCTAAAAGAAACAAAGGTATGCAAGACTAAAGGAGCAAACAAAGCATGATAATAAAACTAGAAGTCTCTAATGAGACTGTAGCTTTACTGGTTAGTACTTACAGCAAGGGAAAAGAAAAGTAGCACTTTGTTTTAAATTCTTGCAACAGCAATAAATAAAATGAATATTTCTAAGTGTTTTGTCTATATGTGTGCAATGTTATATTGAAATTAGACCAAAATTGTAGGAGGAGTAGCATTTTAAAAATCTTTCACAGAAATTTCTTTTTTTAGTAAACATTGCAACACTATTCATCGAAATCAAAATCCCGTACAAAGAATTATGTATCATAGTGCAGTCCACTTGTTCAAAGTTATACTGTAATCAGCCAAAACCTCAGGGAGGAGTAGCGTTTTGAAAATGTTTTTACAGACAGACAACTAACTAGACGGACAGACGGACAGATGACGGATACCTTACTTTTGCATAATCTTTTTCGGTGTCTGATCAGTAAAGCTAAAAAACGAACAGTTTGTCTGATAAGACTAAGATCTACAGCCTTTTACTTACAACCATGAAAAAAATGTTGAATCAGAACTTCATTCATTACTTTTTTTGTCTTTACTCTACTCTAACAGAATTTATGAAATAATTATTATTTCCAAAACATAAAGTTAGTTGAAAAATAGTATGAACTGTAGGAGATGTGGTAGTTGAATTTTAAACATAATTTTACATATATATCTTCCTTCAGTAACTACGGCATTTGATTTCTACGACAACTGATTCGGAGAAAATAAATATATATCATGATGGCTTGACAGTCCACTGCTTTTTCAATTTATCTTAAGTGTTAAATCACTAGAACAAGATAGCAGGAAGCCATGTACATGTATCTAACACTACCACATGATCACATACATATATTATAATAATTATACATGTATATATTTTATATACAATAACTGTAGAGTTTAATGATTTTTGATGTAGCATGTTATTTACTGCTGACCACTATTAAGTTGAAAATAACTGCAATGTTGACCTATAAATGCCATGGGACAATAAATTTATTTTATTAGGGCTTAGAGGGAAGTTTTAAATGATGCAAAGGATTTTTCTGAAACTCTCATAGCAAAGTACTGAGAGTGCCAAAGGTTTGTATAGAGTTCTATGGGAAGATAATAAGTGGTCTTTTCCCTATCACCGCTTCGATAAATCGCCATGTTTGATCTAAATCACATACATGTTTGACGAATATGCTTGCATGCCATACAAATAATCAAGGTTAATAGAGCGTTTGTTTAGAAACTAAAAGTTCATACAAAGTAAAACTGAAATGTGATTATGTTCCAGTGAAAAAATTCCATGTCATGTGGGTAACCAGTAGTCTGTTTTACAAAAGAATTTGTGACTAAGACACAAAAAACTTCATATCATTAAAAAATTTCGCAAAATTAATGATTCTATTTAAATTGCCAATGTTAAAAATAGGTTACTTCATTCCTTTTAAAAAGATAAAAACCTTTTATAATATATTGAATTTATAACAAGAATTAATCTTCATCGTAAGTTCTTTTTAAAAAAAAATCTAATCGCCAACAGTAAATTTTATCTGCTTTTGCAAGTGAGTGAGTGGTTAACCACAACCCTGCCTATGATGCATCAACTAAAAAAGTTTAATGAGCATAGGCCTGAAATTGTTCAAAATATGACTGATTGATTGATTGATTGTATGTTGTTTAACGTCCCTCTCGAGAATTTTTCACTCATATGGAGACGCCACCACTTGCCGATGGAGGGCTACAAATTTTGTCCTATGCTCAGCACTCAGGGCCTTTGAGCAGTGAGGGATCTTTTTCGTCCCAGCATCTACTGCGACACGGGGCCTCGGTTTATAGGGTCTCCTCCGAAGAACCAGTTTCCATGTCCCGCAGTGGGATTCGAACCCGCGATGTAAGGATTGACTCCTCACTTCGCGACTCTAGAGCAGATGCTCTAACCACTGCGCCACGTGGCTGACGTTCAAAATATGCCTCTAAATCATTTTGAAAAAGAATGGCCACAATATTCAAATACCAAGTCAACTTGACCTACTTTTCAGTCATACATGATATTAGGTCCTTAGATGCATCAACTGACAAAATTTGATGATCCTATCACATGCAAAAGTGACTCACATAAATTTTATATAAATTGGTAGCATGAAAAAGATGACTAACAAGACATTTGAAATTTATATATGAAAACTATAAGTGATTTTTACATAATAATATGAATTTTACTTAAAGCGCATATCACATAATTATTATTCAAATTAAGAAACCTCACAAGAAAGTTCTACGAAAAAATCACGTGAATATCGTTTAAAGTTTCTCACATGAAATTCGCATGAAAAATTTTTACATGATTTTTGTATAATTTAAATAATAAGATATTGACATGAATTCCATGTGAGCCTCTTTTTCCTGTGTAGTCCTTATAGTAGGCAAATATCAACATCTTATAATATAAAAATTAATGTTATTTTTTTGTCAACGTTGAAGTGAACTTGAGACCATGCTGTTTGCCCGAGGTTAATTCCATGTGCAAATTTTAATCTACAACATTGGAGTAATCAGTACTTTTGCTTCATATTTTTCTAATTATCTCCCCTTGTCTAAGGATCATGACCCAGTGTTTTTTTTAAAGATGGGAGCTTTCAGGCCAAGGATATTTTGTGACAAATTTGAAAATAATTGACTAAGGGATTCTTGAGTTATGGCAAGTATTCTAAAAAGGTTTATGCACACTGTACAATGCATGCCGCACACAGAACCAATGGCAATAGCATTAGCTCTTTGAATCTTTAGCTCAGAGGAGCTAAAAATCTATCATTTTACAAGTGCCTTACCTTTGTATGTCCACACTGAGAAGATTGATCCTTCTTGGTTATCTTTCTCTTTACTGACAACATCCTCAAACCTCTTAGTCATGTCCAACACAAGGATAAAGAAGGCCTTTGGTGTTACGTAAATTTGGTGACAGGCATAATACGCTAACTGGCCAGCAAAATCCAGCATGCTTACAGTTGGGAATTTTTCTTTATCAGACAAGATTTTCTGAAAAATTTCCTCTTTCACCATAGCTGGAACTTCTGAGGAGATAAGACTGGCCATTACCTCTACAGTACTTTCTTCTTCTGTGCCCTCCGTGGGTGAACTAGACATTTCCACATTCTCTTCTTTCTTTTCCTCTCGGCTATAAACTACTTCAGTGCTTTTATCAGTACTTCCTACTTCCAAATTTTCTTTTTCATTTGCATCAGAGCTGGCAACAGCACTACTGCTTGGGTCTGGTTTCAAATCTGCAGCATTTATTCTGATAAATGCCTTGAATGGTGAGTCATCATCGGCCACTGAAAAAGAGGAATGCTGTTATTTAGTTCTGTTTTCATTTAGCACATCATAGATTAATTATTTTGGCAAAAAAATTATAACTTGGTTCTCAGCCCTGTTTTTATAAGAACAAGAGATATTTGTAAAACACTTATGCCCCCCTCCCCCCAATTTGGAATTTTTCCAAGTCCAAAAGGGCATAACTCTGTCAAAAATGGTGCGATTGTACCCAAAACAGAACTTGACCAAGATATTTATCTGATAAATCTGTATACTAAATTTCATTTCAGTATGTGCAATGATTGTAAAGAAAATGAACGAAAACTGCAAATGATTGAAATTTTTCTAAGTTTAAGGGGAATAATTCTGTTAAAAATGGCGCGATTTATCCCAAAACAGAACTTGATCTAGATATTAATATGATAAATCTGTATACAAAATTTCATTTCAAAGTATGTACAACGGTTGTGAAGAAAATGAACGGAATTTTTCTAATTCAAAGGGGTATAACTCTGTCAGAAAAGGTGTGATCATTCCCAAAACAGATCTTGACCTAGATATTCAAGTGATATACCTGTATACCAAATTTCATTTCAGTATGTGCTATGGTTGCGAAGAAAACGAACGGAAGCTAAGTGGACTGACAGACCGACTTACCGACAGACAGCAGCAAAGCAATATGCCCTCCCTTCTTCAAAGGGGGGCATAATAAATGCATGAGGGAGACATTGTTTTCTTTTTATCTCATAAAAATCAGATGCGGGATTTATTTTAAAAAGATATAACTTCAAAACTAAATTTTAAGTCAACCGTGTCTTAGCATCAAGTCCACAGTGTTTTAGCATCGAGTTTAGATATCAAAATAATTTATCTCCTGCTTCTTTCTCATTTCTATTGCATCTTCTACGTCTACATCCCAATAATTCATATAATGAAACGATGTCATCCTAAAAAGGAGATGTGTTAAACTTTCAGAACCCAACAGTGATGCTGGTCAATTGCTTAAGTGTTTCAGCACAATAAATAGTGCTAATGATTTTTATTAAACATTGTCAAATCCCTCAGTCTTTGGTTTACCCACATTACATGAAATCTGCAAATCTTGCTGACGTCCGAGTTCTGAGGTTCAGGGAGCCATCTCTGATCACGTTATTGATCGAGTTCTAGCATGGAAAACATTTGAAGATAAAAATGGGTAATGCACATTGTTAAATTAACTGTAGAAGAGCCTGAGAACCAAATTATAATTTGTTTAGGCCTTATCTCTTTTTTCATATTTGAGGATAGAGAACAAACAGCCTATTGATTTTAACTTAAATTTATATATATATATATATATATATATATATATATATATATATATATATATATATATATATGTGTGTTCATAACTTCAACAATAAATTTTTTTAATGTCTCCCTTCGAAGAATCGAGGGTATATTGGTTTGCTGCTGTCTGTAAGTTGGTCGGTCTGTCAGCCGGTCTAAGTTTCCTTCATTTTCTTCACAACCATTGCACATACTGAAATGAATTGTTGGTATACAGATTGATCATATAAATATCTAGGTCAAGTTTCTTTTGACAGAGTTATGCCCCTTGGACTTGGTAAAATTCCAACTATCTATTATATGATGATTAAATATTTTCCAGCTCTATGGTTGGCTGCTCTAGATTAAACATAATAAGAACTAAAAATATGTTCATCGGACATGAATGCCTTGCCCTGGCTTCATTTGTAAGGCAACATAACACTTGTATTTGTGTATGAAGTTTGATGAAGATATCTTCATGAATAGTTTCTTTAAAACTGTGTTTCATACAAAAACTCAAATGGGTATTTCTATTTGAAAAGTGGCTTGTCTTTTTCATTTGTCCTTTGAATATGTGTCAGAAATTATTTTTACCCTCTAAAACTCCATCTCTAACAATAAAGAGATGTTGATGGACTTCCAGTCCCCTGGTGGACTCTGTAACTTCACTGACATTTTGATGTTTCCCTCTTAATCGCTTCAGCAGTGTTGTTAGTCCCCTGGATGACTTTGGAGCTTTGCTGACATTTTGACTTTGCCCTCTTAATCGCTTCAGTAGCGTTGTTTTTCCAGCCTCAGCACATCCAACAATTATTCCTCTGGCATGAGAAACAGTTGTCTTCTCCTTCCCAAGAAACTTCTTCAACTCTTCCACTTTATTTATATCACTGCTTGCATCTGTAACAAGAACAGTCATGTTCTCAAAATGGACATCAGAACAAATACATGAAGCAGAATTTGAAATTTTGTTTTAATGCACTTTACAGGTGTTCCAGAAAAAAATATGTTACTCTAGATCTGTTATTTTTATATCTTATATTTTATCTTTTTATCGTATTTTGTGAAATCAGTTCCAGAATATTATCTGATTATTTTGCTTTGGTCATATGATTTACCTCTTGGGCTAAGAACAAAGATTGAAATAAATCATGTTTTGTAAATAAAATTAATTCCTCTGTATAAAGTTTACAAACATAAATACATGTAATACTATTTTTGTAGCAGAAAAATAGTTATGTCTTTTAATCATGAAACAAGAGGTCCATGTGCCACATGGCTCACCTGACTAACTTTGTAGATGCTTTTTTTTAACCAGAAATCCACCCTTGTAATATACAATTAATTACCCCTTTTGGGGTCAACATGGTGAAATAAGGACCTGAGACCTTGCCCACGAGGTGACCTGACCGAGGTAATATCCTCCCCCTCCCAGGGCTCATGATCTGAACAAATTAGAATCAACCCTACCCCGGAATGCTTCCAAATAAGTTTCAGCTTTACTGGCCCAGTGGTTTTTGAGAAGAAGATTTCTAAAGATTTTTCCTATATATTTCAATGTAAAACTTGGATTCCCTATTGTGGTCCCATCTTACCCCTGGGGGTCATGGTTTTAATTATTTAGAATCTACATCAACCCCACGATGCTTCCACATAAGTTTCAGTTTTTCTGGCCTAGTGGTTCTTATGAGGAATATTTTTCAATGACCCACCCCCCTATTTCCGTCTTTTCTTGATTATCTCCCCTTGTAAGGGGTCTTGGCCCTTCATTTTGACATTTTGACTTCCCCATCACTCAAGGATGCTTTGTATCAAGCTTTGTTAAAATTGGTCCAATGGTTCTTGAGAAGAAGTCGAAAATGTGAACATGCAGTTTACAGACAGACAGCTAGACAGCTGGACAGATTTGAACAGATTGAATCTACACTACGTGACGATGATTCCACATGACTTTCATCTTTCCTGGCCCAGTGGTTCTTGAGAAGAATATTTTTCCTATATATTCCTATTTAAAACTTTGATCGGCCACTTTGGTCCCACCCTACTCCGGGGTCATGATTTGAACAAACGTGAATCTATACTACCTGAGTATGATTCCACATGAGTTTCATCTTTCCTGTCCCAGTGGTTCTTGAGAAGAAGATTTTTAAAGATTTTTCCTATATATTTCTATGTAAAACTTTGATCCGCCATTTTGGCCCTACCCTACACCCGGAGGTCATGATTTGAACAAACTTGAATCAACACTACCTGACGATGATTCCACATGAGTTTCATCTTTCCTGGCCCAGTAGTTCTTGAGACGATTTTTAAAGATTTTTTCTATATATTCCTATGTAAAACTTTGATCGGCCATTTTAGCCTTACCCTACCCCTGAGGGTCATTATTTGAACAAACTTGAACCTACACTACCTGACAATGATTACACATGAGTTTAATCTTTCCTGGCACAGTGGTTCTTGAGAAGAAGATTTTTTAACAAGAGGCCCAAGGGCCTTGAATCGCTCTTCTGATAAATTATACAATCTATCCTAAGACCCAAGATGCATCAACTGACAAAGTTTGATGATTCTTAGCCAGTAAGGGCTGAAGATATTTAAATGTAACTATGAAATAAAATAAGGTCATGGTGACCTACTTTTTGATTGAAATTTTCTGAGGACACAAAATGCATTAATTGGCAAAGATTGATGATTCTAAGCCAATAAGTACTTGAAATATTCAAAAGTGGGTCACAGTAACCTACTTATTGGTCAACATTTTCGAAAACCCAAGGTGCATAAACTGACAACGTTTGACAATTCTAAGCCAATAAGTACCCTAGAATACTTAAATATAGCAATAAATGTCACAAGTAGGTCACTATGACCTGTACTTTGATCATCATTCTCCAAGAACCCAAGATGCATCAAATAACAAAGTTTGATGATTTTAAACCAATAAGTACCCAAAATACCTAAATATAGCCATAAAATGACAAAAGTAGGTCACTGTGACCTTCTTTTTGACACACTTTTTGGTCCACATTCTCCAAAAACCCAAGATGCATCTATTGACAAAGTTTGATGATTCTAAGCCAATCAGTACCTGAGATATTCAAAAGTGGGTCACTGTGACCTACTTTTTGGTCAACATGCTCCGAAAACCTAAGATGCATCAAATGACAAAATTTGATGATTCTAAACCAATTAGTACCTGAGATCAGTCAGGGGTGTGATTGAAATCTATCATTTTTAAAAATGATGATTTTCAGTCATTAAATTGATTTTTAATAATGATGGAAATTCATCTTTTTTTAGTAAAATGATGAAAAACAGTCATTTCTATTTTGAAATTTATTTTAGAAATAGAGTTATCTCTGATATTAAAAATGACTGTTTTTCATCATTTTTTATCAAATTGTTAGGTCTGGGCGCACTTAATTATCTCATTAGTTTTACGGGGCGCACTAAATTATTTTGGTTTCAATTACTTGTCAAGATGTTTCTCTACACAAGGGTCTATGGCAGGATAGTGTACTATATCTAATTACTGTAGTAAATGGGATGGGAAAATTGACTTGAGAATGGAAATATGATGAAAAGACGTCATATTTACAAAAATCAGAAAATTGTGTACATTATATACTTAGAAGAAATGACCATTATCCATCATTTTCAAAAATGACTGATTTCAGTACCACCCCTGACTGGAGATACATAAAACTAGCCATAAAATGTCAAAAATAGGTCACTGTGACCTACTTCTTGGTCGACATGCTCCGAAAACCCAAGATGCACCAAATGACAAAGTTTGATGATTCTAAGCCAATAAGTACCTGAGATACTAAAATATAGCCATAAAATGTCAAAAGTAGGTCACTGTGACCTACTTTTTGGTCGTTAATCTCCGAAAACTCAAGATGCATCAACTGACAAATTTTAATGATTCTAAGCCAATTAGTACCAGAGATACTTAAATCTAGCCATAAAATGTTGAAAGTAAGTCACAGTGACCTACTTTTTGGTCGACATTTTCTGAAGACCAAAGATGCATTAACTGACAAAATTTGATCATCAAAGGTCTAATAATATTCAAAATATGCCTTTATAACAATTTGAAAACAAATGCCTGCAAAGTTCAAAAAGTAGGTCACAGTGACCTACTTTTTTGATAAATATGTTTTAAGGCCTCTAGATGCATCAGCTTAGAAGATTTGGTGATTCTAAACCTCTTGGTGTCTGAAATAATGGGATTAAATGTTTTAGGAAAGATTAGCCATAAAATTCAAAAAGTAGGTCATGATGACCTTTAAAGTTGGTGTTGTTTGTAGACCCAAGATGCACCAACTGACAAAGTTTTATGATCAAAAGCCTTTAGTTAAAGTGTCCAAAATATGCCTCCAAATCAATTTGAAAACAAAAGCCCGTAAAATTTAAAAAGTAGGTCACCGTGACCTACTTTTGTATTAACATGATGTCAATTCCTGAGATGCATCAACTTACAAGATTTGATGATCCTAGTCTTTATAGTAAGTAAAATATCAATATTTTTAATAAGTGTAAATTTTGATCAACTTTGAAGTGACCTTGAGACCACGCCCTTTGCCCCAGGGTCATGCCTTGAACAATTTTTGATCTTCAACATATCCTGACCCTTGTATATAAGTTTGATGAAAATCTGATTGGTGGTTCTGGAGAAGAAGATTTTTTAGCAACCAGTACTTTTGGTTTTATTTTCATGATTATCTCCCCTTGTATTAGGGTTCCACCCCTAATTTTAGTATAAATGGTAGCCCTTGGGCCAAGGATACCCCGTGACAAGTTTGACAATAATTGGCCAAGGGGTTCTTGAGTTATGGCCCGTATTCTAAAAAGTTAATGCACACCGCACGAAGCACACCGCACAAATGGCCACAGCACTAGCTCTTTGAGCCTTTGGCTCAGAAGAGCTAAAAATTCCATTAATTTTTCTCTTATTCATAATCATCTCCCCTTGGAAAATGGCTTGGCCTTTCATTTGAACAAACTTGAATCCCCTTCACCCAAGGATACTTTGTAGCAAGTTTGGTTGAAATTGGCCCAGTGGTTTCTTGGAAGATGAAAATGTGAAAAGTTTGCAAAGACAACGACAACGACGACGACAACAATGACGACGACAGACAACGGACAAATTGTGATCAGAAAAGCTCACTTGAAGCTTTGGCTCAGGTGAGCTAAAAAAACAAGATGTGTTTGTGAAACACTACTAGCCTAGTGGCAAAAACTTAAAAAACACACTTTAAGCATATAGGTCACAATCAAGGTCACAAGGTCATTTGTCATTGTCATTTGAAAGAACTTGATAAGTGAAATATGCATACCAAATATGAAGTCTCTATCTCTCATGGTTCAAAAGTTATGGTGAAGATTCAAAAAAGCTATTTTTAGCATATAGGACACAGACAAGGTCACAATACCATTGACCTTGGTATCTTGTGAAAGGGCTTAATATGTGGAGTATGCATGCAAAATATTAAGTCTCTCTTTCTTCGTTCAAAAGTTATGGTGAAGGCTAAAGTTTGCCAACAAAAAAGCTATAATTAACGTATAAATCACAGTCATGGTCACAAGGTCATTGACACGGTATCATTTAAAAGAGCTTTATAAGTGGTTTACGTATACTAAATATGAAGTCTCTATCTTTTATTGTTCAAAAGTTATGGCGAAGGTTAAAGTTTGCAGAAAAAAAAACCTATTTTTAGCATACAGGTCACAGTCAAGGTCACAAGGTCATTGATATATGTCATTTGAAAGAGTTTAATTAGTGGAGTATGCATACCAAATATGAAGTCTCTTTCTTTCATGGTTTAAAAGTTATGACAAAGGTTAACGTTTGCAGACAAACAGACAAAAAGACAAACAGATAAACAGACAAACAGACAGGACAAAAACAATGACAAACAAGCAAATTCAAAGAACTGTGGTCCCCCGCTTTCGGTGTCTTTATCAGTGAGATGTCATTTTTATGACACATTGTCTCAAATATGAAGGCCCTATTTTGTATCATTTAGAAATTATCACTGAAGTTGATTTTTTTAAAAATCAGGTCAATCGTGAAGGTCAAGGTCCATGGGTCACAAATCATAGCATGCTTGGAAATGTATTGTCACAGGTAATGCACATGTCAAATATGAAAGCCATATCTCTTCTCAATATAAGGAACAAGATGTGTTTGTGAAACACTGATGACCTGTATGGCAACACAACAAAGATTAAACTTTTGTTAAATGCAAATTAAATAGAGTTGGGTATTGCGAGTGAAAACCATATTGCGATATATTGCAATATTTTACTTTGAATATTGCAATATATTGCAATATATTGTAGGTTAATTATCATTGATAAATTGGAGCAGAATCTTTAAATTGCTGTCAAGTTCAAAGACTATTTGAATTTTTAAAAAAGTTTTAAAGGGGGAGGAGGGATAAGAAATTAATTGCACACATAATAACATAACTTTTAATCAAATTCAAATACCTAATAATATAATAAAACAAAATTAACTCTCTTGGAAAATTTTCAAATTGAAAAAAAATTATATACATAAGATATAATCTTTATTATTATCACTATTTTTTTTGGGGGGGGGGGGGGTCTCAATGAAGTAGCATAAAATGTTATTACAGATTAAAACATTACATACTAGATGAAAATAATTTCATTATTGTGGTTTCAGAATAGAATTAAAGCCAGAGAGAAATTGTGACCTGTTTTTGTGCGTTTTGGTGTTTTAGTCTAATCCGACCTAATTTCACATTATGACATACGATCAGGAAATGGCCTATATCTACTGTTTTAATATACATGCTCCTGGTAAGGATGACGGTGGCTAAAATGGCATGAAAGTCATTAAAAATAAATTAAAGCAATACTTCTACAAGTGAAAACAGGGATGATCATTTACTTGTATTATGAACATATATATATATAACTATATTGAACATCGATCGTGTACATTCCATTAAGATTTAGAACCACAGTAAACATGGTATTCACCCTGTAGAAATGTTTTATATATATTTTCTTTCTTATTAATTTTATTTTTAAGTTTTAACATTAATTATTGATTTTATTTTAAACATATTTAAAATTGCAACAGTGAATTTAAAGCTTCCTCTCTCTCTCTCTCGGCAAGCGGTAAATCTCTCTCTCTCTCTCTCTCTCTCTCCCGAACGAAGCTGACGAAGTATTCTTTCAACGAGACTGAAAAAACCTTTAGGATGTTACAAGTATTATTTCAGCAGTTTCTACAATAAAGGAGGTTTTTATATATTGTTTTAGATATCGTAAAATACCGGTATCTGATTTTCATATCGCGATATATTATCCTGGTGATTAATACCGCAATATACCGATATACCGGTAATATTGCACACCCCTAAAATTAAATACATTATTTCCCAAAAGTCAAGGTCATTCATGATATCCAATGAAAGGCCTTGTGACAAGGATTAAATATTTGAAACATGAAAGCGTTAGCCCTAACCCTTTAAAAGTTATGGTCAAGGTTTGTTTTTTAAAGTAGGTCAAAATACAAGGTCGAGGTCAAAAGGTCAAAGTTTTTTGTATCCATTGAAAGAATTTCTCACACTGATTACATATGTGAAGTATGAAAGCCCTATCTCTTACCGTTCAAAAGTTATTGCCAAGTTTAAAGTTTTTTCACAGGTACAGATATCTTCAAAGACAAGGTGAATAGGTCAAGGTTATTTGTATCCAATGAAAGATCTTGCCACAAAAAAAACATATGTGAAATATAAAAGTCCTAGTATCTACCATTCAAAAGTTATGGCCAAAGTAAAAGTAAGAATTTTTGTGTAAAGTGGGTCAAACTCCAAGGTCAAGGTCAAAAGGTCAAATTTGGTGGTAACCAAAGAAAGGTCTTGTCACAAGGAACACATATGTGAAATATGAAAGTCATAGCTCCACTAAATTAAAAGTTATGGGCAAGGTAAAAGTTTTTGTGACAGACGGACAGACAGACAAACAAATGAGATTTAATGTCCCCTCGCTTTCACGAAAGCGGGGGACAATAAACAATAAACAATAAACAAATCTTTTGATCTAGGCGCATAAAAATTCCCACTAATGCAGTACTAAAAGAAAAAGATTACATGGCATGATAAAGTGAGACACCTCCTTCCCACCCAAACCTACCCCAAAAACATCTTGTGTGTGTGTGTGTGAACAAGAGGGGGGGGGGAGATACACTGATACGACTCAAATTCTGACAATGGTTTCATTTTAACCATCAAATCTCCATGTAATATACATGTATGTAAAATGTCACCCCAGTACACAGTGTAGATTTACTGAACACCTGCTACAGAAATACACAACATTCCTAGACAGAGCTGTGTTAATATCAACAGGATCAATGGTGACTATATATCTCACTGTCAACTTTGTACAAAATGTTTGTAGTCACTGTGATTGAACTTTGTTTGAACACATTGAATGATGTATTCAAAGTATATATCATCTAATGATAAGGTCTATGACATTACCCCCCCCCCCTCCCCCTCCAACACTCATGAACCCTACACCAATTTTACAACCATTTTTCCATTTTCTGACATTTGTAGTGATCTTAAAATTTAACCAACAAACCATTAAGCAGAGGAATATAAAAATATCATGTCAACCTAAATAGAAGACAGAATCAAAGAGAGTTATTTAACCGTGTTAACAAATCATTATATAGTCTGTACAAATTCAGGAGTTGTTTGTCAAAGACAACAAAGTTAACAACTAACATGACTAAGTACACACTAAAATAACTCTTATTAAATCAAAACTATAACAATTGAAAACCAAATCATTATTAATTTGACAACTTATCTATTAATATTATTTCTTAAAATCATTTCTTGTTACATAACACAAGTTAGAATTCAATTAACCATGTAATGTATTTACACTTAAAAGTATGATCAAACCTTAATGTCTTATTTACACATACAAAACAATGACTATACTATATTATACACACTAAACATTGTAAACAAACATATAATAATACTTCAGTATAACTTACCAGTCAGATTATCCTCTCCATAGATAAGTCTGTAGATGTTCACTGTGTTGTGGCGGTATGATCCTACCCAGACAGACCGGGTGTTGTCATCATAACTCAGGCTGTATGGTCTGTCTATCCCGTATTGTACTGTAACTATCTCTGTCAGGTAGTTACCGTCTTTATCAATGATATGTACTGTGTGGGTGTTATAATCACACAGCAGGATGTGTGACAGCGCGTCAGTACAGATTCCACGTGGTCGTAGTCCTGATCCTGATGGAGGACCTGTGTAGGAGAAGCGATGTCTTCCTCTACTGTCTGTCACCACTACACCACGCCAATAGTCAGACACAATAACATCTCCATTGCGGTTCTCTGTGATGTAGAGAGGATATTCATACAGTTCCTGACCTGTGTTGTCGTGCTGTATGGTCTGTATGTGTCGTCCTGTCTTAGAGTAACGGTTTACCCGGCCTGTCACTGTATCAGTTTTATACATCCCGACCAGCAGGTCTCCAGTGGAGGGGGAGCTGTAGACACACAGTGGTCTCCATGGTGATGTGTTGTATGGTATCACTGTGGTCTTTACTTTATCTTTAGATCGTCTTATGATGTTAAGGTGACTGTCTATATAAATCACATCACCATTTTGAGTCACAGTATGTACTCCACCACCATATAGATATAAACCTGTCACTTTATCTAGTGTGTCTCCTGTCGTGTTTGTTAAGATGAGATTGCCTTCTTTATCACAGATCCAGACCCGGTCTGATGTCACGTGGGTAATGTGTTTACACCCACTAACTCCAGACACTGTGACAGATTTCTGTAATACTGCTGTATACATCCCTGACACCTGACTTCTTTTTCCTGTGACTTTATAATGCTGTGTTGGTTTCAGTCAGGGAGATCTCTCTGTAAATTACAACATTGTTCTAGAATTATCTACATCAATAACAGGACTCTCTTTATAATGTACTCATTTAAAATGTCTTGGTTTTCAGAACTTATATCTTTATATGTTTTGGTTGTAAGAACTTATACTGTGTTAAACAATTAAATAGAATTACCAGATAAACATAAATACCTGGACACTGGCTTCTCAATAATTTGTCTCCATTCATAGCAGCCTCCAAGTGTTCTCAATTAAACCTGTCTAACAAAGCAATAGTTATAATTAAAACACATATAAATCGTGACATACTGGAAAACAATTTATGTTTTTATAGATGTTAACATAAAATCATTTAAAACCTGACATTCTATAATATTGTATCTACAATTCAGTCTTTACAGAAGAAAAATCATGATAAAATCTGCATTCCTACCATTACTAATTCATAGTTATTACAATAAAGTGTTAGATAGAAAAATTCTACAGTAACTATGAGACTCTATAGATAGGTATGATTACTGTGTACTTTAAAGGCACTTGGACACAGATTTGAAGTTAATATTTTCTGTATATTTCTGTATAATATCACGAATTATATATTTTAATAGCATTTCACACAGAAATTAATTAAAAATCTTATTTCAATTAAAAGTTATTAAAACTTTAAATTTTTTGGCGGGTTTGATTGACACATCATTGCACGTTCACAAATCTTAACTTTATTCTTTAAAAGTTTTCATAACTTTTAAATGAAATAAGATTTTTAATTAATTTTTGTGTGAAATGCTATTAAAATATATAAGTCGTAATATTATAGAGAAAATATTAATTTCAAATCTGTGTACAAGTACCTTTAACACAGTTATAACAAGAGGCCCATGGGCCACATCGCTCACCTGAGCACACTGGCTAGGAAATAATAGCAGAAATCACTTCAGTATTGAGTAGTTTAGATGGGGGGGGTCTGAAATTTTAAACTACTAAATACCCCATGATGCTTTCATACAACAAATTCCATTACTGTTTTTGAGCAGATGATTTTTCCCTATTTATTCATTTGACCCCCCGCCCTCCCCATTGTGGCCCAGCCCAAACCGTGGTAGCCCTCATTTGAACCAGTATGACTTTGTACTACCTGAGGATGCCCCCATATCTATATGACTAAAGATTACTTTTCTGTTCTTGGGAAAAAAAATTCCTTGATATTTATAGATTTCCAATTGTGGCCCACCCTACCCTACCCCTACTTCACATTCATGACTTGAACAAACTTGAATCAACACTACGGATGCTTATATAAAAATATGACCAATCATGGCTTTATAGTTCTTAAAAAGAAGAGTTTTAAAAAATTTGATTTTCCAATGTATTTATTCCTATGTAAAGCTTTAATCGTCAATTGTGGCCCCGCCCTACCACTGGGGGTCATGATTTGAACAAACTTGAATCTACACTACCTGAGGATGCTTCCACTTGAGTTTCATCTTTCCTGGCCCAGTGGTTCTGGAGAAGAAGATTTTCAAAGATTTTTCCTATATATTCCTATGTAAAACTTTGATAAGCCATTGTTGCCCCGCCCTACCCCCATGGGTCATCATTTGAACAAACTTAAATCTACACTACATGAGGATGCTTCTACATGAGTTTCATCTTTCATGGCCCAATGGTTTTGGAGAAGAAGATTTTTAAAAGATGCAATTAATTTTTCCCTAATTCATAATTATCTCCCCTTCGAAGAGGGCTTGGCCTTCCATTTGAACAAATTTGAATACCCTTCATCAAAGAATGCTTTGTGCCAAGTTTGGTTGAAATTGGCCCAATGGTTCTTGACAAGAAGTCGAAAATGTGAAAAGTTTACAGACAGACGGACGCCGCACAAAATGTGATCAGAAGAGATCACTTGAGCCTTCGGCTAAGGTGAGCTAAAAAACTAAATTTAGGCATTAGTTAAACCTGTCAAAATGGTGATTTCTTCCTCTTCTTTAGCTTTACATAGTTAAACAGCACATCCTGGGAGACCTGTCAAAATAAACACAGTACAATGAGTAAATATTTCTGCATAGCTTCAATGTCTTAAAAGATTAATGTTATTGTATGGTATATTTTAGATTATTCATGGAAATGTAGACCTGAATTTTGTCAAGTCTTTAAAATACCAACCCATCATATTAAACAAGAGGCCCATGGGCTACATCGCTCACCTGAGCACTATGGCTAGGAAAAAATAGAAATTGGTTTATTATTAAAATGTTTAAATCCAAAAGTAGTCCCATGACCAATCATGGCTTTGCTATTCTTGAGAAGATGAGAATTTTCCTATATATTTCTATGTAAACCTTTGGTTTGCCATTGTGGCCCCGCCTTACCCCACGGGGGTCATGATTTGAACAAACTTGAATCTGCACAACCTGAGGATGCTTCCATATGAATATGATCAATTATGGCTTTGCTATTCTTGAGAAGAAGATTTTTAAACAATTTTCCTATATATTTCCATGTAAAACTTTGGTCGACCATTGTGACCCTTCCATATCCCCAGGGGTCATGATTTGAAGAAAATGGAATCTACATTACCTGAGGATGCTTCAATATTAATATGATGAATCATGGCTTTGTCATTCTTGAGAAGAAGATTTTTAAAGAATGTTCCTATATATTTCTATTGAAAACTTTGATCGGCCAATTTGGCCACGCCCTACCTCTGGAGGTCATAATTTGAACAAACTTGAATTTACACTACCTGAGGATGTTTCCCCATAAGTTTCATCTTTTCTGGCACAGTGGATCTTAAATAAGAAGAAGATTTTTAAAACATCCCACCAAATTTTTCCTAATTCCCAATTATCTCCCCTTGAATGAGAGCGTGGCCCTTCATTTGAAGAAATTTAAATTCTATTTACCCAAGGATGCTTTGTGGCAAGTTTGGTTGAAATTGGCTCTTTTTTGAGAAGAAGTCGAAAATGTGAAAAGTTTACAGACAGACAGACAGACGCCAGACAAAATGTGATCAGAAAAGCTCACTTGAGCCTTCGGCTAAAGTGAGCTAAAAAACTAAATTTAGGCATTAGTAAAACCTGTTAAAATGGTGATTTCTTACTCTTCTTTAGCTTTACATAGTAAAACAGCACATCCTAGGAAAACCTGTCAAAATAAACACAGTACAATGAGTAAATATTTCTGCATAGCTTCAATGTCTTAAAAGATTAATGTTATTGTATGGTATATTTTAGATTATTCATGGAAATGTAGACCTGAATTTTGTCAAGTCTTTAAAATACCAACCCATCATATTAAACAAGAGGCCCATGGGCTACATCGCTCACCTGAGCACTATGGCTAGGAAAAAATAGAAATTGGTTTATTATTGAAATGTTTAAACCCAAAAGTAGTCCCATGACCAATCATGGCTTTGCTATTCTTGAGAAGATGAGAATTTTCCTATATATTTCTATGTAAACCTTTGGTTTGCCATTGTGGCCCCGCCTTACCCCACGGGGGTCATGATTTGAACAAACTTGAATCTGCACAACCTGAGGATGCTTCCATATGAATATGATCAATTATGGCTTTGCTATTCTTGAGAAGAAGATTTTTAAAGAATTTTCCTATATATTTCTATGTAAAACTTTGGTCGACCATTGTGACCCTTCCATACCCCCAGGGGTCATGATTTGAAGAAAATGGAATCTACATTACCTGAGGATGCTTCAATATCAATATGATGAATCATGGCTTTGTCATTCTTGAGAAGAAGATTTTTAAAGAATGTTCCTATATATTTCTATTGAAAACTTTGATCGGCCAATTTGGCCACGCCCTACCTCTGGAGGTCATAATTTGAACAAACTTGAATTTACACTACCTGAGGATGTTTCCCCATAAGTTTCATCTTTTCTGGCACAGTGGTTCTTAAATAAGAAGAAGATTTTTAAAACATCTCACCAAATTTTTCCTAATTCCCAATTATCCCCCCTTGAATGAGAGCGTGGCCCTTCATTTGAAGAAATTTAAATTCTATTTACCCAAGGATGCTTTGTGGCAAGTTTGGTTGAAATTGGCTCTTTTTTGAGAAGAAGTCGAAAATGTGAAAAGTTTACAGACAGACAGACAGACACACGCCAGACAAAATGTGATCAGAAAAGCTCACTTGAGCCTTCGGCTAAGGTGAGCTAAAAAACTAAATTTAGGCATTAGTAAAACCTGTTAAAATGGTGATTTCTTCCTCTTCTTTAGCTTTACATAGTAACACAGCACATCCTGGGAGACCTGTCAAAATAAACTCAGTATGTGAGTAAATATTTCTGTATAGCTTCAATGTCTTAAAAGACTAATGTTATTGTATTGAATATTTAAGATTATTCATGGAAATGTAGACCTGAATTTTGTCAAGACTTTAAAATACCAACCCGTCATATTAAACAAGAGGCCCATGGGCCACATTGCTCACCTGAGCACTATGGCTAGGAAATAAAAGCAGAAATCACTTCAGCATTGAGTAGTTAAAGACAGGGGGTCTGAAATTTTAAACTACCAACTACCCAATGATGCTTCCATACAAAAAATGCCTTTACTGTTTTTGAGCAGATGATTTTTTCCCTATTTATTCATTTTTGACCCCCCCCCCCCCCATTGTGGCCCAGCCCTAACCGTGGTAGCCCTCATTTGAACCAGTATGACTTTGTACTACCTGAGGACGCCTCCATATCTATATAATTAAACATTGCTTTTCTGTTCTTGGGGAAAAAATTCCTTGATATTTATAGATTTCCAATTGTGGCCCACCCTACCCACCCCCTACATCACATTCATGACTTGAACAAACTTGAATCAACACTATGTAAGGATGCTTACATAGAGATATGACCAATCATGGCTTTATAGTTCTTAAAAAGAAGAGTTTTAAAAAATTTGATTTTCCAATGTATTCATTCCTATGTAAAACTTTAATCATCAATTATGGCCTCGCCCTATCCCTAGGGGTCTTGATTTGAACAAACTTGAATCTACACTACCTGAGAATGCTTCAACATGAACTTCATCTTTCCTGGCCCAGTGGTTCTAGAGAAGAAGATTTCAAAGATTTTTCCTATATATTCCTATGTAAAACTTTGATAAGCCATTGTGGCCCCGTCCTACCCCTGTGGGTCATCATTTGAACAAATTTAAATCTACACTACATGAGGATGCTTCAACCTGAGTTTCATCTTTCCTAGTGATGGAACGATTGTCGCCGACAATCGATTGTCGGTCGTTAGAAGCTCTTCGATGCTACTAATCGATTGTAAAATAAATGTCGCCGACATCGCTAACAAAAAATAAAATTGTCATACTTTAAATTTATTCCCAAATCCAAGTGCAAAGAGCATAAAAGTAGTGATGAATGTTGAAAACATGGAAGGATTTTGTACCTTGTTGATACTTTTACCGCCATGATTAAATATGGGGTTAGACTAATACCAGGAAACGGTAATATTGCAATGTTTTACTATAGAAAGGAAAACATAATTAGTCTAGTCAATCTTTAAACGTAATTATAATCATAAATGCAAGTCTAACTTCTGAATAATTACTTTCAAAACTTGCAACTTTAACTAATTAAAACTAATTTTAAGAAATAGATACATGTATTAAATGAAAGGTGGGACTAATATCAGTAAAATACCCACTGCATGGGCTTTGTAAAAAAAAAATTATAATAAATTCCCATTCTGTTTCAATAGTCCTATATTGTTTTAAAGTAAACAAAATATTATTTTCCACTCTTAAAAAAAGAAATTTCAGTTATTATTTTTGAATATTTTATGTAAGTAAATGTTTTTTTGTAAAAGTCTGACAGAAATCTGAATAAGTTTTGAACAAATTTGAATACCCTTCATCAACATGATCAAAGGATGCTTTGTGGCAAGTTTTCTTGAAATTGGCCCAGTGGTTCTTGACAAGAAGTCGAAAATGTGAAAAGTTTACAGACAGACGGACGCCGGACAAAATGCGATCAGAAGAGCTCACTTGAGCCTTCAGCTCAGGTGAGCTAAAAACTAAATTTAGGCATTAGTTTAACCTGTCAAAATGGTGATTTCTTCCTCTTCTTTAGCTTTACATAGTTAAACAGCACATCCTGGGAGACCTGTCAAAATAAACTCAGTACAATGAATAAATATTTCTGTATAGCTTCAATGTCTTAAAAGACTAATGTTATTGTATGGTATATTTTAGATTATTCACGGAAATGTTTCATGAAGCCGTAATTACTTATTGTTTATAAAATTAGTCTGATACTCTCAAAACTGTAATACATTTTTTTAATTTCTTGATAAGAAGATTTTTAAACAATTTTCCTATATATTTCTATGTAAAAGATTGGTCGGCCATTTTGGCCCCGGCCTACCCCCGGGGGTCATGATTTGAACAAACTTGATTCTACACTACCTGAGCATGCTTCCATATAAATATGATGTATTATGGCTTTGTCATTCTTGTGAAGAAGATTTTTAAACAATTTTCCTATATATTTCTATGTAAAACTTTGGTCGGCCATTTTGGCCCCGCCCTACCCCCGGGGGTCATGATTTGAACAAACTACCTGAAAACTGTCACAAACCTGTTGTATATAAAGGTAAAAATGAATACCTGTATAATGATAATTATCCTGGTAATCTTTTCACACGTTGTACATTACATCCTATAGAAGCTGTCAAAATTAACACAAACAAATTAAGAATTGCCAACTAATGCAGTTCACTGTTAAAGTTCTTGGTAGACACGGTGATCATGCAATACTGGTAAATTAATGGAGGAGCTAATCTTCATCCTGTAGAAGCTGTCAGTGTGGGAGACCTGTCAAACAAGTGTCTTGAAAACCTAATGTTATTGAATGGTATATATATATATTCTAGATTATTCGTGGAAATGTTTCATGAAGCCTTAATTAGTTATTATTATTTAAACCTGTTAAATTGGTGATTTCTTCCTCTTCATTATCTTTACATAGGTAGACAGCACATCCTGGGAGACCTGTCAAAATAAACACAGTACAATGAGTAAATATTTCTGCATAGCTTCAATGTCTTGAAAAAAACTAATGTGATTGAATGGTATATTTTTTATTGTTCATGGAAATGTAGACCTGAATTTTGTCAAGTCTTTAAAATACCAACCCGTAATATTAAACAAGAGGCTCATGGGCCACATCACTCACCTGAGCACTATGGCTAGGAAAAAATAGAAATTGGTTTATAATTGAAAAGTTTAAATCCAAAAGTAGTCCCCTGACCAATCATGGCTTTGCCCCTCTTGAGAAGATGAGAATTTTCCTAAATATTTCTATGTGAAACTTTGGTTGGGCATTGTGGCCTAACCCTACCCAAGGGGGTCATGATTTGAACAAATATATGATCAATTATGGCTTTGCATTGATTCCATTATATGTATATGCACTATAAAAAAATGTTATAATCGAAAAAACATCGAATTTACTTTACTTGGCATAAACATGTAAACAATTGATGTATTTAACAACATATAGATTTTCATGTTTCTCTATCATTATTTTTGTTTATGTATTGTTGTTATTTATAAAAAATACTGAATAAAATCTTATTACAAAAAAAAAAAAAAAAAAATTATGGCTTTGCTATTCTTAAGAAGAAGATTTTTAAAGAATTTTCCTATATATCTCTATATACCTGGTTAAACTTTGGTCAGCCATTGTGGCCCTTCCCTACCCCCGGGGGTCATGATTTGAACAAATTAAATGGAATCTACACTATCTGAAGATGCTTACATATAAATATGATGAATTATGGATTTGCTATTCTTGAGAAAAAAGATTTTTAAAGAATTTTCCTACATACTTCTATGTAAGTAAAACTCGTCGACCATTGTGTCCCCACCCTAACCATGGGGGTCATGTTTTGAACAAATTTCAATCTACACTACCTGAGGATGTTTCCATATAAATATGATGAGTTATATCTTTGTCATTCTTGAGAAGAAGATATTTAAAGAATTTTCTTATATATTTCTATGTAAAACTTTGGTCAGCCATTTTGGCCCCGCCCTACCTCCAGGGGTCATGATTTGAATAACCTTAAATGTACACTACCTGAGGATGTTTCCCCATAAGTTTCATCTTTCCTGGCACAGCGGTTCTTTTTAAAAGAAGATTTTTAAAACATCCCATCAAATTTTCCTTAATTCCAAATTATCTCTGCTTAAATGAAGACATGGCCCTTCATTTGAAGAAACTTGAATCCCCTTCACCTAAGGATGCATTGTGGAAAGTTTAGTTAAAATAGGCCCAGCGGTTCTTGTGAAAATGTGAAAAGTTTACACACAGACGGACAGACAGACAGACACCAGATAAAATGTGATCAGAAAAGCTCACTTGAACCTTCGGCTCAGGTGAGCTAAAAATTAAAAGATTTTTTAAACCTGTCAAAACGGTGATTTCTTCAGCCTCTTTAGCTTTACATAGTTAAACAGCACATCCTGGGAGACCTGTCAAAACAAACTAAGTACAATGAGTAAATATTTCTGTAAAGCTTAAATGTCTTAAAAGACTAATGTTATACATGTAGTATGGTTTAACTTAGATTATTCATGGAAATGTTTCATTCCGATTTACACTCCTGTATATAAAGGTGGAAAAAAATACCTGTATAATGGATCGTTATCCTTGCAATCCTCTCACACGTTGTACATTACATGTGTAGAATCTGTCAAAATTAACACAAACAAATTAAAGATTGACACAAAATGCAGTTCACTGTTACAGTTCCTAGTAGACATTATGATCATGCAAAACTGGTAAATTAATGCTTCAGGATTCTAATCAGAATCTGATGAACAGTTTATTTTGTAGTGCATGTACCAGTGTTTGACTTATTTGTGCTTTAGTTTATTGCTAAAATTGTCTTACAAAATCTTAGGGCTAGATATGGTTTTTAAAAAATCACTAATTACTTCAGCTATCACCGTCAAATTTTCAAATGTTAACCAAGCTATTTTACTGTCTCACTAAACTATAAACTAAAACTATAATTATCAATCATAGTAATATTTTGTTCACACATTGCTGTGAAACTTATAATCATAGTGCAATTTATCACAATAAGAAATGACATTTCTGGACATCTGGATTTTTAAAAACCTTTTTAAGGTAATAAAGGAATGTTTTATTGTAAATTGATAGAGAGTATTGATTGAAAAAAGCGGTTGAAGTCGTTGCAAAAAATCCCTAATCACATTGTACGGCAGTGAGCTGAAAGGTCATAGGGACACCAGACCAAGATTTAAGTCCCTATGACATCTCATTGAGATTAAGGGTCCTTAACTGTGGCCTTGCTAGCAATGCCCAAGCAAGGGGGAGGTAACTTTCCAGATATCCTCAGCCTCGTTTTAATTCTGTAATAGAAAAGAGCTTGAAAAGTATGGCTTAATAAACTACTTTTCTTCAAGTTTTCAAATGTTTCGGGGATCTTTTTATGAAGTTTGAGATGCCCCCAAGAATTACCAACCCTGAATGTTTGAAGTATGGCGGGAATTGACTCGTTCATATCCAGTATGGAAGCCAACTCATGTGTAGAAAAAAATGTAAACAATGTGAATTGAACATCTGACGGTCTGTTTTCTTCATTGTCAATGTGATATATTTTGTATTCTTGTTTATGAACTATGTTCTGAAACAGCTGAAGTATTCTATTGATTAAATTTCTTTCAAAGGCTATTTCGTGTGCGAAAACCAAAATAGAGTTCATCTCAAAGTGAACAAGAATAAATTTCAAGATTGACTTACCTTGTTGAAGAAAATAATGAAAGTCAAATAAAAAACTTCATTTATAATCATACTTTGACTTTTATTGACAAGTTTATTTCTTTAAAAAATGAGACAATCCGGGAAGAGTTATTCCGGTACAAGTCTTGTTTTATAGTAATGTTCCACTAGGTGGGGTCATTTGGCACAGAGATTATAAATACAACTGAAGCGGTGAAGTTGATGCAGAAGTGAGAACACAAGCGGCTATCAATTGATGATAAGTAGTATTTTTTAACAAGAGGCCCAGGGGCCACAGCGCTCACCTGAGCACATCAGGCTTGAATTTACTCCACCCCCCCCCCCCCCCCACCCCTCAAGGCGTTCATCATTTGAACAAACTAGAATCTACACTACCTGAGGATGATTCCATATAAATATCACTAATCATAGATTTGAAGTACTTGTAAAGAAGATTTTAAAAAGTTTCCCTATATATCCCTATGTAAAACTTGGGTGGGCCATTTTGGCCCCACCGTAGCCCCGGGGGTCATGATTTGAACAAACTTAAATCTGCACTGCCTGAGGATGATTCCATGTGAGTTTCATCTTTCCTGGCCCAGTGGTTCTGGAGAAGAAGATTTTTAAAGATTTTTCCTAGATATATTCCTATATAAGACTTTGATCGGCAATTTTGGCCCCACCCTACCCCGGGGGTCATGATTTGAACAAACTTGAATCTACACTACCTGAGGATGATTCCATATGAGTTTCATCTTTCCTGGCCCAGTGGTACTGGAGAAGAAGATTTTTAAAGATTTTTCCTATATATTCCTATGTAAAGCTTGGTTCGGCCATTTTGGCCCCAACCTTGCCCCCGGGGTCATGATTTGAACAAACTTGAATCTACACTACCTGAGGTTGCTTCC